AACCAAGCCTTTAAGTATCCCTAGGGCTCGGGGTTTAGGGTTTAGGGTTTAGGGTTTAGGGTTTAGCGTTTAGGGTTTAGGGTTTAGGGTTTCCTAAATAATGAGTTACTGGGTTGCATATTATATGGCTAGTAACCTACTACCTAAGTCACTGGCTCCTTACCTAGACCCTTAAATGTAGGACCTTTCTAGTGGATGACCTGTTTTATGGTTAAGAAACTTAGGGAACCAACAAAACGTACTACATTTTGGGGTCTAGGTAGGGTATAATGAAACACAGAAACTCTCTTCTTGAACAACCATGCCCAAAAAAGTTCAAACTTTTTAGGATAGACCAAAGATATAAGGCCAAAAAATTTAAAGTTCTCCTATTGTCGAACTAAGGAAACCCTAAACCCTAAACCCTAAACCCTAAACACTGGCGGACCTCACGGGGATGCTCTGCTTCCTGCGGAAGAGCAATGGCGACCGAATTAGCGAGTGTTGGGTTTGAGGTTGGGGGCAAATTTGCCCGGCTTGAAGGGGCTCTTTGTTTGGGTTTGGGGGTTTAGAACCCTAAGGGTACATGTGGCCAAATAGTGTATACTTTGGCCGTAAAGCCAGAGTATATACTATATGGGCACATGGACCCTTACGGGAAATCAAGAACTGCTTGGATTGTCTAAATTAAACCCTAAACCCTTAACCCCTAAACCCCTAAAGCCCTAAACCCCTCAACCCCAACCCCTAAAACCCTAAACCCCTAAACCCTAAACCCCTATACCCTAAACTAACCCTAAACCCTAAACCCCTAAACCCCTAAACCCCTAAACCCTAAACCCTAAACCGCTAAAAGTTTGCTTAGAGGCTTTGGAGGGCTGAAGATCCCTTAAAAGCCCTTCGAAAACCCCTAAGAGACCAGTAGCGATTAGCGTAGGGTTTAGGCTTGTTTAGGGTTTGGGGCCTAGGGTTTAGGGTTTAGGCTTGTTTAGGGTTTGGGGCTTAGGGTTTAGGGTTTAGGCTTGTTTAGGGTTTGGGGCTTAGGGTTTAGGCTTGTTTAGGGTTTGGGGC